TGTATTACGTTACTTACAAGCTCTCGCTTCTTAGTTGTCAGCTGACGATAAAAGGAGTTTGGACCTTGCAAGCCCTATGATCTCTTTGGACCAACCCAAGTTTATTTGGGTTGTACCCTAATGACAACGTTAACCTATTAACGTCGAATGACATGATAATTTGATATTGACTTAGAAGTTAAAATATTAATTTTTAATTCACCTTATCATTTTTTATTAAAGTTAAGATTTTTTTTCACCTATTTTTAGTCGTCTTCGAAAACCATCATTTTTCAACATCTTTTGTAGCCATTCTAAACACCAACAAACTCGTCTCATCGTCTTTTAAATTTTCTCAAAACCTTTAAAACTCACGAAATTAAATTTTTTTTTGAGTTTAAGAGTTTTTCTTAGATTTGAGGAGTTTGTTCGAAAATTCGAATAATGAGAAGCATTCTTTCAAGAAGACGAATAATTTACCTCAAAGTAAATCTCATCGAGTGATCATATTAGAGTATTGTAACTTCAGTCTTTTAAATAGATTTTCTTTGATTTTTGAGTGAATTTTGTGGAAAACTAATCCTAAAGAGAAGAAAGATGAGTGAGATGAGAACACTTTGATACTGATATTGTCGTGAATGACACACGATAACGAGTTATGATTGACTAACAACAATGATCGAAGTAGTTCATGATTGTTTATAGGGATTAAAATGATATGCAAACTAAAGTTTAGTGTCTAGAAATAAAACATTTTAAAGTTTAATGACAAAATTGATACACAATTTTAAGTTCATGAGAAAAAATTGACCACATCATCATATCATTTTCAGTTTAACAAATTAATACTTATGTTGAAGTCAAAATCAAAATTTAGTGTTATAATTAAATAATTTTAAAATTCAATGGTAAAATTTAACCCAAAAATATATTTCAAGCTATTCCATTCCAAAACCGAATAGGGGGATCTGAATTTTTGAGAGAACAAAACAATATTTTAATGAAACATCTTTAACAACTTTGGATTGTTTCCTTTACAAACCACCGTATGGAACTGCCAAATTTACATATGAAACAAGTTACACAAACAAGAATATAAACATACACATAAGATCATCATCAGCTATTAGCCTCATTATTTCTCAGCAACTCTTTAAACTCTTCATCAGTGCTCTTTAGAATGATAGCCAATGGCATTTTAACCCCACTTTTCATGACTTCAATGTGCCTTGGTTTTATTCTCTTCTCCAAACTAAAAGCAAAGAACTGAGGGAACTCCTTCAACTCCTCCAAATTCCTTCATCTCCTCCTTGAAGTAGTTAAATTTCGGCTTGTAGTTGCTTTCTATGCTGAAAGTAAACAAACCAGGACACCTCAACACCATGCTTTTAGCCTCACCAGTTGAAAACCCCATACTTTCCAAGAACTTTAGTTTGGGTATCAAGGTGTGTTCCACACTGGACACTATCAAGACAGGGTCTTGATAAGCCAGATCTTCTAAGTCTTTAAACCCAAGCCTTTGGAGATAGAACAAAGCTGGTTTCAGCTGGTCTCTGACACTTGAAGTAAGCAGTCTTGGACACTTGTTTATGACCTTCCTGTAGTTGTTTTCTGGGACATTAAGTCTTGGGAGAGGAAACTGAAAACTGGGTTAAGGTCAGTTTTGATGTTGGAGGTCAAGATTTTGGGGCACATGCCGAAGATTCTAGGGAAGTCCTTTTGGTGGATGCCTTTGGATTGCAGGAAGGAGATGATGGAGTTGAGGGAATCAAGGGAAGTGGTGTGAAGAGAAGGGTTGAGAGAGAGTGCTTTACCTGAGTCAATGCCCATGATTTCGAGGCACAAGATTTTCTCCTTGATTTGAAGGGAGAGGTTGTGGTGAGCCGATGAGTAGAGTGGGTGTTTGTGGAGGAGACTTTTTGGTTTTGATGCTAAATGGGTGTTCGGTTCTTGGGAATTTGTGGGAGAAAATGAAGGTTTCTGGGAAGAGATACAAAGGGAAGATTGGAATGCTGTTGCAGCTGTTGCAGACATGGTGAAGAAACAGGGAGAGATAAGCTTATTGTCTGAAAACCCATCTTATTGGCCTTTATTTGTATGTTATGTGGCAATGACACGTGGAGATTGAGCTGATAAATGATTGGATCAAGCCAGATTTCTTTAGATGACTTAACTGGATCCCGAATGGACCATGAACTAACCTATCCTATCGCTTGCTACTGCTGATTACATCATTGCCTCAAGTACATCGAGGTCTGATTAAATCATAATTAGGGCGCAAATAAATAGAGTTATTCCAATAAAATTGTATTTATATTCATTTTTCTATTTTTATTTGTATTCACTTAATATTTCAGGCCGATCAACCGTTTTTGCGGAGCGAACGAATCACGTCTTACCTCTGGAGCAACATAATTAGGTGTTCCTCGTGTAAAGTAAACCGTTCTCCTACAAGAAAAGGATAAGACGTTGCATAAATATTATCACACACACAGAGATGTCAAAAGACACGGAGACGTCGCACTTACATCAACTTGTTGAGATAAAGCACTCAAACCGAAGCCTGAAGCTTTAAGCATCATTTTAGAATCTAGCAGCAAATTCTCAGCCTGTAAATGACAGAAGACAGATCCACTATATCAGATAATTGAACATAAAACTGTATCCCACACCTCTGCTATGGCAATAATCTACAGCATTAATAAGCTGTTGGAAATACTTTCTAGCTCTATCTTCCTTTAACCTCCCCCTGGTAGCCTGGTACAGCAAGACGGATACGACAGAACGCCGGACTGATTATTTCGTATTAAACACCGATGAAGAAACATAGTTGTTTTGATTGCTTTCTTACGGTTCTGTCGAAAAGTTCACCGCCGGTGATGAATTCCAGAACGATGTAAATCTTCCTTTTGCTAGCCATTACATCGTAAATACGGATGACATTCGGGTGTTGAATGAGCTTCATGGTCGAAATTTCACGTTTAACTGGGACTAAAGTAAATTGAAACATTAAAAAAGGAAGAGAAGATTTACCTGAGCAATCATTTTATGCTTCAAAACTCTATTTTTATCAATAATCTTGATTGCTACACCCTCTTCAGTCTCTATATTCCTGGCATGTTTCATCTTTGCCGATGTTCCTTCTCCCAACGTCCTCCCAACCTCGTACTTCCTTCCCCACACGCATCCCACTATTCGAATTCGTGCGAGTCGCCATCGTTCGTCTTTTGTTTGTGTGTTTCAACTAAAGCTTGCTATTGATCAAGGAGACCTCTTCTTCTTGCATGGTTGCATATCTGAGACTAGCCACCCTCATTTATTTTCACTCCTCTAAAATTTATAAATTCAAGAACATCAATATCCTATTAATGGAGATTAAAATTCGAAAAAGAAACAACGCTGGATGATTATGGGGGAAATAGTGGAAAGAAAGCAGAAGAGGTGGACGTGGAACCTATGAAATCGGATAAATGAACGGCGGAGGAAATCGGTTCATTACAAAAATTTCATGTGCACTAAATTGATGAGTAGATTGAATGAAATGCACGTAACTAATATTAATTTGATTCATATCGTTGCTAGTATGCAAACGGTTCAAGATAATAAACTTTTAACTAAAGTTTTTATTGATCAAAATTTCTGTCTGTACACGCACATATGTACCAACAAAAGTCTAGGTCAGTGGTCATCTGTCCAATGCCTTGTTAATAAGGAAGAAAGGGTTTAAAGAAGAAACAAAACTGGAAAATGAACTGAAGATACATCTTCAATACACCGTTTTCTAGTTATCAAAAATCGAAAAACTTGACACTCCTTTGAGAAAAACATATGGAGTGAGCCGTCACGTTGGTGGCAGAAGACGATGAACCAGCAGCAGCAGCAGGAGCCACAGGGACCGAAGTATCAGTGTAGCTTCCATCTCTATCCTCTTCACTAATTGTGTCCAACATCGTCATCGTTCTTTTCCTCATCACGGTAACAAACTGCGGCGGAGCAACCTCGGTGATGAACCTATGGATACGCAAGTTCGCCATGTCTGTAACAGATTTCTGAAACAAGTAAATCCCAAGAAGGAAAACCCTGGTATTTGGATATGCAGAAGCTAAGAGCTAAGGTGAGGTTTATATAAGAACATGGCTTGGCTTCAATCGAGACAAGGGTCTTTGTCTCTCATTAATGAAAAATTACCAACTAGTGCCGCCACTTACCTTTTGAAATTAATTTGCAAAAGTGATCTGATGTTTGATGTTTCAGAAACAAGATCCAAAGAGATAAGTACACAGTGGGGGACCTTTTTAGATTTGCAATTCGTTCATTTGTTGGGGGGTCATTGATTGCTTTAAATTTGCAGTTTTATGAGCTCAACCGGCCATCTTATTTTGTGCCATCTGCTATTTGATTTGACTCGTCCACTGTTGCCTTTGTGGAATGATGAAAGGGCAGCCTGGTTACTTGCATGGGAGGACTCTCTCAAGTCATTTAGTATTGTCCCTTACGTGTTTGTTTCTATGACATGAGGAAACTTGGACTTTTTATCTTCATCGAGTAAAAAAATTGTTGTACCTCTTCCGATTTTTTTTTTAAATTAATTTTCATATAATAAAACTTTCAAAGAATTTCTGTGTAGTGAAAGTTCGTAACTTCTTGACACAATTTTTAATAATCAGGTGATATATCAGAATTAAATTTATTGTCAACTGATCATATTTATTGGACTTGTTAACCTACGAGTAACTATCATGAGTTTATAACTAACACCAACATTAAAAATTATATAAAAATTCTCCATTAAAATTGAGAAAAAAATATAAAACTTTCACCTTTATTTTCTTCCTCTCTTTTATCATAAAAACATAAAATCATATACTAATCAATTCTCGTTTATCTATTATCTATAATTATTCATCTAAATACAGAGAAATAAACCAACGAACACTCTGAAATATTTCAAAACTCAATCTATGAAAAACGCACAAAGAAACTTTATAATCAACGGGGTTCTCTATACTTTTGAGCCAATTACAAGGATAGCTCATAGCTTGTGTTCTTTAAGCCTGTAATGGCCCATTACTACTCACATTTGCAAAGAGTCTAAAACCCTAGAAACCCCCCTAAATTGCCTTTTCCTTTAGCTGCTTCCCCAACCCTCCATTAGAGAAGGTGGTGTAGCTCCGTAAAACAGTTCACAATTTCCTTTCTATACCTGGGTCTTCTTTCTGGGTTTTCGTGTAATTGCGTGAAAGTTCTGATCTTTCCTTCTTTTTTACACTTTGCATCTCTTTTGATTGGATAAGATGTATCTCCAGTTCTACATAAACGAGAATGGAGACAAAGTTTACACCACTAAGGTAAATCCCATAGAGCCATGATTTCTTTCCATTGATAATTAGGTAAAACTACAGATAAATGTTCTTAGGCATGTAGAAATTCCTTAAGTTTACATGTTTTGTTTATGGTGTTTGAGATTATGGGAAGGTCAATCTTTATATGTACTGAAACTGAAACCATCTCCAGAAATGGCACTTTGAAGTTTTAACTTTTAACCCTTTTTTGTTTTATTTTCAAAATTGGGTTTTACTCTGGAAGCTAAGAACTTATTGGTAGGATATGTTTTACTTTTCCATAATAATTTAGGGTGTTTCTGGCTGAATAAATTGCCTGGCTATATAATGCATTGAAGTTTGAGACAGTAATTAAGTTTTAATCTCTGTGTAGATTGGCTGTCGTCATATGATCTTGTTATAGCAATATTTTAAGGTTTCTAATTCATGGATAATGAACATACCATTGGTTATTTCTCTATGTTTACATTTGCATTGACTTTGTGTGCAGAAAGAATCACCATTGGGGTTGCCTACTCAGTCTGCTCATCCGGGTAATATGGCCTGAATCATTTATTTCCTTTCTGGCTTACATCTTATGTTTGGCCTGGTTGCCTATGGAGGCATGTATATATGCATACGTATTTGCACACAGTCACACACACATTCGTATTAGCTTCTTTGATCTATTTTTTCTTGTTCTGTTGGTCTTGATTGGAACTCAACACAAGATGTCTATTCTGGTTGAGAATTGCAAGTGTTCTGAGTTCTGACTACAAGTTCATTAGCTATCTCTCTCTTATTTATCGTGCCATTGGTGTTGGTACCACTTTGTGTCGTCAATGGCATCGGGCAGTAACGGGTGATAACATCAGCTTGAACATGTTAGGCTATTATATGATCTTTTTTCTGGTTGTGTCGAAGTTTATTATAGGATTATGAAATTTTGTTGAAAGTTGCACAAAAATCTTATTCACAAGTATTGTAATGTTTTCTGGTGATTGTTTCTTTTTCTCTTATTTATGCAGCTCGTTTCTCCCCCGATGACAAATTCTCAAGACAGAGAGTTCTTTTGAAGAAGCGTTTTGGGTTGTTGCCGACCCAGCAGCCGGCTCCGAAATATTGAAACCGTCGAAAATGTCATGCATGTTGTACTATCACGCTTTAATGATTATTATTGGAGTGTCTTTGGATGTATAATGAAGTTTCTAGCTCATAGTAGAGTCTCTTTAGGAGGATGAGGATGAGTTAAAACTACAAACACTTTAATGTCTGGTTGCAAGAACATCTTAAGTAATGCGAGTAGTTTGATTTCTGAGATTGTTGACTATGTTAAGTGGTGTTATCCCAAGTTTGTTACGTTCATTTAATTTTTTGTACATATTCGGACGTTTAAGCACCTGTTAGCTGATACTTGTTTGAACAAAACATGTCGAAAGCGGTGCAGCCATTGCTGTATTATCTTCACCTGTGCCGTATCCATAAGGGCAGATACCGAAATCCTATCGCCTAATACGTCCGATCTGGATACCACCAAATACCTGCTTTTGGGGTTTGATTGACCTTTTAGTCTTTATCAGTATCATAAAGGCAAAAAGCAGGGTTGAGGACACAGCTGTGAACTTTGCATTTAAGACCGAAAGCTTAGCAGCAATACCATGGCTGAAGTCCCCTAGCCCTTGAATTCTGATCTGTAGTAAAGCGTATGGAAGACATGTACCGTGTCTACCAAGGCAAACAATGGAAACGAAATGCCAAATATGTCTCCATGGAAAAATCCTGAAGAAACTGAAAGATTATAGATCGTTAATCTGATAATATTTTATAATAAATATTCGGATATAACACACAAAATAACATAAACCTGATAGCTGGCCTTGAGCAGCTTGTTTGAACAAAACACCGCCAAAATCAATGCAGCAGCCGTCACTGTATTATCTTCACCTGTGCCGTTTCCATGAGGGCAACGACCGAAAGCTATTCGCCTGATATGTCCGATTCAGATATCTCCAAAAACCAACTTTTTGGGGTCTGGTTGTCCTTTCAATTTTTATCCGTACCGAAAAGGCAAAAATGGGGTTGCAAACAAAGCTCCAAACTTTGCATTTAAGACCCAAACCCCACAGCTAAAAACCCCTAGCTCTTACAACCTGTATAAATCATGGAATTCAACATTTTTTGACATCCATTCATTCAAGTTTCCATAATTCCATTACAGAAAAGAAGCTTAATTTCCCCATGGCTGATATCGTCTCTGTCACCACTCTCCAACAAACACCCTGCATAGTTACTCCACCACCTCGCACTCCCTTCTCCACCATCGTGCCGGCCCAGTTCATTTCCGAGCATAGGCTCAACATCCATATAACACTAGAGACCATTCATGAAGAAGAGGAAATCAACATGGAGGTGTTACTCCAAAATTCGTCACCAGCTGACATCAACTTGTTTCTTAGAAGTGAAGAACGGCCCCTTTCCGTCATGTAATCGTGTTAGACGAACATATCTGATGTAGTGCATGGATTCTTCTCTTCTTTTCGTTTCCCCCCTTTTGAGGGTCCTAATTTTGGCAATAGTCTATAATTCACCCTTTTCATGTCTGAAATTTAACTGTCCATATTCATTCCAAGACATAAGATTATCTGTCCTTTTTGCGTGACTAACAACCTTATAGTTCCAATCTCCCATTAAAACATATATAATAATCCAAAGCTTTTAGCAATTTGATTCAACATACATCTCCGAATCCAATACAAGTTCCCAGTTTAACATCAAAGCCTCATTCTCCTACAAAACAACAATGGCAAAGGATATTAGATACATGCAAGAATTTGGAGAAGTGGCGCCATCTCTCGTGATATCCCACTACAAACCTAAGAGTTGCCCTCGATTGGAACCCATACTTGAAGAGGAATGTGGCGATGTAGAGGTGTTGAACAAGACGGTCTTTGTTCTTCTTCCTGTTCTGCTTTCGTTGTCTGTCTATGTGTTTTGGCATAAGTAGAGAATAAACATATGTTTCATACTCGAAAATCTGACCAAACCAGTTCAAATTTAAATCTTACACAACTCGAATTGATCATGAAAAAACAACAATTATTCGAAGTTGTTTAATTTATTCTATTCGCTTTCATTGATTGAATTCAAGGTTCTTTAAGAATACAAATCCAGAAAAGAAATTAATTACAAACCGATAGGTTTCTCACAAATAATTACGATCCAAGTTCATTGAAATCCATAATTCAAATTCACGTTCATATTGGTGAAACAATTACAATGACCCATCTAATGGTCTCAATGGTAAAATGAGTGTTGTTCTCACTAGAAAATTCGGACTCGAGCAACTGTATTAAATGTGTGTTGTCAAAACTGAATTGGACAGAGACACACAATGGATAGAACTGCAAGTGTCTGAAAAGTGTGGTTAGTTCTGGTATCTTTCAAAGGCTATATACAAGAGGAAGATGATAATAACAAATCAGACAAATGGAACACAATCTTGTTTGGGGATAAGACCCTAAACAAGGTGTTTTTTTAACATTATTACATGAAACATCAAGGTGGATTCAAAGAGAACTTATCTATTTTGCATTAATTACGTTTCCAAGATTTTACATGAGGTGTGTTATATTTGTTCTTTTTAGTACCGAAATCCAGAGTTTTGTTAAAATAAAAAAAATCAAACAATTTAAAAATTTAAAATGAAATAAAAGAAAAATAATATTGGAAGGTGATTATTATATGTTAATCTTTGTATGGACACATTTGATTAAGTATTATTAATAATAATTTTCGGTACTCCTTTTTCCTTTCAATTTTCGATGTTTTGATCTTTGATCAAATGCTCGATTACGAAGGGATTTTGAACAGACTCCGCTTTTTTTTTTTTTTTAAAAAAAAGATAATGGTCATATAGGCTATATAGCCGCCAAATGATCTCTGCGGTTCAAAAATTAAATGCTTTCCGCTCAACGATCAGGACAAGTTCTTAGCTCATTCCCGCGCTTTCTGGCCACCCAAACAAGGCTTTTCAGCAGCATCGTCTCCTCCCTGTTAAACTTATGCAAGAAACAACGCCATCTCCCACAAATCCATGCAAGATTCGTCCTCCATGGCCTTCACCAGAATACATCAGTTTCGATTCATCTAATCGATTCCTATGCCAACTTTGGCCTCCTCAACCTCTCTTTGCAACTCTTTGATTCCATTACCAACCCAAGTCCACACCTGCACAACACGGTGTTAAGAAATTTAGTGACTTTGGGTGAATTTAAAAGGACCCTGTTGGTTTACAAGGACATGGTAGCAAAAAGGCCCATGTCTCCGGATGAAAACTCTTACCCTTTTGTTCTAAGAGCCTGTTCTTGTTTGTCAGATGCTGAGTATGGGAAAATGGTTCATGGGCAGTTGACAAAACTGGGTTTTGATTCATTTGAGACTGTTTTTGATGCATTGTTATAGTTTTACATGGGGTTTGGCGAGTTTGAGCATAAGGTGGTTGACGAAAAGCCTGTTAGGGAATTGGATTATTGGAGAAGTCTGGTTCTTGAAGCTTCACAAAGAGGAAGTGTGGTCTCTTTTATTGATTTTTTAAGGGCAAGTGTTGATTTTGGTTCATTGAGAGCAGGAAAAGCTGTCCATTGTTTGGCTCTAGTTAGTGCTTCTAGTAAGGATTTGTCTGTGAATACTGCTTTGTTGTCGATGTATTCAAAACTAGGTAGTCTCAAAGATATGAGATTGGTGTTTAAAAATATGCCTGAGAAGGACCTTGTTGTGTGGAACATAATGGTTTCTGCATATTCTCAACATGGAAAACCAACGGAGTCGGTCAAGAATGTGAGGTGCATGGTAAATTCTGGGATTAGAGCTGATATGTTTACTGCTATTCCTGCTATTTCCTCTATCAGGAAGTTGAAATCTACTGAGTGGGGCAAACAAATGCATGCTTATGTGATGAGAAACGGTTTAGACTATCAAGTTTCTGTTCATAATTCTCTTATTGATATGTATTATGAATGCGATTGTTTAACTTATGCTCGAAAGATTTTCGAAAATGTAACAGAAAAAACTGTGGTTTCATGGAGCTCAATGATCAAAGGATATGTAAACCGTGACCAGAATCATGATGCTCTTTCTCTTTTCTCCAGGATGAAAACAGATGGAGTTAAAGCAGATTTCATTACAGTTATCAACATCTTGCCTGCATGTGTGAATACAGGGGCACTGGAGCAAGTTAGAGCCCTTCATGGATACTCATTGAAGCTCGGTCTGAATTTGATGTCATCGGTTAATTCTTCATTTCCTATTGGTAATGCAAAATGCGGATGCATAGTTTTGGCCAGAAAGCTTTTTGATGAAGAGGAAATTGATGTCAAGGATATCATAACATGGAATTCAATGATCAGTGCTCATGCTAAGCATGGAGACTGGTCACAATGTTTCGAGTTGTATAACCGGATGAAGTGGTTGAATATGAAACTGGATCAAGTTACTTTTCTTGGCCTACTGACTGCTTGCATCAATTCAGGGCTTGTTAAAGAAGGTGGGACATTTTTTAAGGAGATGAGGGAAATCTATGGTTGCCAACCCAACCAAGAACACTATGCTTGCATGGTGGATTTACTAGGGCGTGCTGGACGTATTGATGAAGCCAGAGAACTTGTCGATGAAATGCCATTCAAACCAGATACTCGAGTGTGGGGGCCTTTGTTGAGTGCATGTAAGCTGCACTCGGAAACCAAGTTAGCGGAATCTGCTGCTGAGAAACTATTAACAATGGAACCAGAAAATGCTGGAAACTATGTTTTACTATCAAACATATATGCAGCCGCCGGGAAGTGGGACAAATTTGCTAAAATGAGGAGACTTCTTAGAGAGAAAGGACTAAGGAAAATCCCTGGTTGTAGTTGGCTACAACTAAATGGACATGTAAATGAGTTTCTTGTTGCTGATAAATCACATCCAAAGGCAAATGACATATATGCTTTACTTGGAATCCTAGAATTTTCAATCAAGGAGGCCAGAGAATACAACTGCTGGGAAAGTATGCTAAATGCTTATTTCATTCATGGGTGAATCCACAACAAATTTTAGCTAGTTCTGGTCACAGGATTAACCTACATGTTGAATGAAAATTTACGCCGAAGATATCGCCTTAGCAGGCACAAGGAAGAAAATGAAGCAGGCAGCACACGTTGGTGGTACCTTCTCCTTTGAACCACCCACATAACATATTTTAATGTTTGCAAATTTTCTTCATGGTTTCTAATGGATTTCACTTCAATATTTAATCCAAAGAATAGACTTTAGCATTAGCTTCTAA